TGGAGATAGTTCCTAAATCTGATCCTGATATTCTTCGTCACCGCAATTTAGAAAGGAGTCACGTTTTTGCGGGGCTCTGGCATCATCTTTTAGGAGCTCTAGTCTTTCTTCTCTTTGAAGATGCCCAATTTTCTCCCTTCAGAGGGTGACTATTACTATGCTACTGCTTCCTGATAAATGTTGGTGACAGAATAAAGTTAGGTTACATGGTAATATATTGCATATGTTGGACGGTCATTTAACAGTTTTACAAGAATTTGGAAAGGGTTATTCCAGAAGAGTTGCTTCTGGTTCTCCTCTCGAGAAACTGTGGGAATGTCATGTCTATCATCTTTTCCAATAACTCGATCTTAATTTGATATAGTAGATTATGCATATTGATTTTGGGTGTTGTGTACATTTAATAATGCATATAGACAAATGATCTAGAACTTCTGTCCTATAACTTAAGAGTGGCTGAAAAATGTTAATGACTATTCACCTGCATGTCTTCAGGTTGATTCGACAGCGTGTCTATGTAGAGTTGATACGAGCCTCAAAACTGTTGCTGGGGCCAAAAAGTACGTACCTGGAACAAAGCTCTGTCTCCAGCCCGACATCAAACCATCCATTCATCCAACAAGGAACAAGCCCGCACGAGGAGATAGAAGCCGGAATCAATCCCCTCTACTTCCAGGCCTACCCGATGACCTTGCCATCGCGTGTCTCATTAGGGTGCCACGAGTGGAACACTGTAAGCTCCGCCTAGTCTGCAAAAAATGGTACAAGCTTCTTTCGGGTAACTTCTTTTACTCCTTGCGTAAGAGCCTCGGAATCGCAGAAGAATGGGTATATGTAATCAAGAGAGACCGAGATGGGAAGATCTCTTGGCATGCTTTTGATCCCATATATCAGCTCTGGCAGCCTCTCCCTCCAGTGCCGAAGGAATACTCGGAAGCCCTAGGTTTCGGATGTGCCGTCCTAAGTGGGTGCCACCTTTACTTATTCGGTGGCAAAGACCCACTGAAAGGCTCAATGAGACGAGTGGTTTTTTATAGTGCGAGGACAAATAAATGGCACCGTGCCCCCGACATGCTTCGGAGACGGCATTTCTTTGGATCATGTGTCATAAACAACTGCTTGTACGTAGCTGGTGGTGAGAACGAGGGTGTTCACCGTACAATGAGGTCTGCAGAGGTATATGATCCCAACAGAAACCGTTGGTCCTTCATTTCAGAGATGAGCACGGCCATGGTGCCCTTCATTGGCGTCGTTTACGAGGGAAAGTGGTATCTGAAGGGGCTCGGGTCACACCGGCAGGTTCTTAGCGAGGTCTACCAACCAGATACGGATAGCTGGTTCCCAGTGTACGATGGAATGGTCGCCGGCTGGAGAAACCCCAGTGTCTCCTTTAATGGGCACCTCTATGCTTTGGATTGCAAGGACGGATGCAAATTGAGGGTTTACGATGAAGTGACAGATTCTTGGAGTAAGCACATTGACAGTAAGATGCATTTGGGAAATTCCCAGGCTCTAGAGGCAGCTGCACTCGTTCCTCTCAATGGGAAACTGTGCGTCATCAGAAACAACATGAGCATTTCTGTCGTTGATGTTTCAAAATCTGACGGTGGCAGGGGTGCAACTGCTGAACATTTGTGGGAAACTATAGCAGGAAAAAGCCAATTAAGGACCATGGTCACGAATCTCTGGTCTAACCTCGCAGGGAGGAACCGCCTGAAGAGTCACATTGTTCACTGCCAGGTTCTTCAAGCCTAGAAACTGTACACTAAACTCAGTTCCATGGTTATGTATTTTCGGAAATTTCTTGCCTCGGCTATATGGAACTGCGTCCAGATGAGGCCAAAAGCTTGTCAAAATTGGATTTGACGATGTTAAATGGATGTGCACTCCAAATTGAAGCTCAAATGTCCCACTTTAGAGTCGCTATATATATACGTGGATGTTTTACCTTTCGGGGCTTGGAAAAGAAATTTTGGAAGATACATGGCTGGCTTTGGGTAGAGGGCGGGGATCAAGTGATGAAAAGCTCATCTGTAGTTAGCTTGTTTGACTTTCGGGTTTTGCTTTTGTAGACCTTGTTTATGTTCCCTATTCAACACTGGTTATATTAAATATGCTGTGAACTGGTTTGACCTGATCGTCAAAAGTAAGTCCGATATGGTTCATGAAGGGCATTCTGGAGATGTCTACCCTCTCTCTTATCCGTTGAATAAGCAAACAGAGCCTTAAAAAGTCTAGGAACAGAATTTGCACCTGCTTGCTCTCTTGGCCTCCGTGGCTTGTGGACTGCCTTGTCCTCGTCGTCTTCCTGCATTTGTGATGTACAGGAAACCCAGGTGTCAGGTTACCTGAGTAAAAATAGCCAGTAACCGATTCGTCGAATCAAGTGACTTTTGATCTTTGCCAATACTTCTAGGTGATTATCGCGATGTCCCGAGAGATTCTGTCTAAGCTATTCAATCTTCTGGAGTGCCTTTCATGTTTATTTGTTTTTCAATTGGAAATACTAGACTTTTAATCCGGCATGGTTCCCCGGATCCGTATTTTGCGATACATTGAGAAGATTGTTTCTGTTTGATGCTACTTGATGTATGTATTCCGTAGTTCCCGAAGCAAGGTTTGCTGGTTCTAAGTTTAATGTAGTAGCACTCCTCCACAAACTGCTTTCGCCGGGGTTTTATCACGTTCGTTTAGATTCAGCTCAAGTCCATAGCAAAACGTTTTCAATTGCAGCTTGCAGAAACATTTAACGACGAGGCAATTCAAAAGAAAGGGGAACAAAAGATATTAAATCACTATTTATGCTTCAAGGTGTTGAGTTTGAACATCTGACATCTTTATAAGTGAAAAAAGAATAGGGAACGAATAAGGCACAACAACAAGGCTACAACTACGGACGACACCTCGTCCCAAGATTTCTAGCAATTTCTTCCAGAGTGTGCATCTCTAGTTTTCCTGCATTACGATACGAGTCCTAAATGTGGAAAAATCTATCCAAAAGCTTCTACAGACGGCTAGGTGTGCGCATACAAACAAACAAACAAACAAACACCCCCCCGGCTCAAGATCCTGTAAGGTAGCTTCTGGCCAATGAGATGGAACTCAGCTTCTGCCTCTTGAATTCGTTATACCGCAGAAAGAAATATTCCATGTAATCGAAATCGATGGGCGACATCTTTGCCTGTAGGATCATCAGCTCTTATGTAAGCATACTTGAGAGGCGATGCACAGCATCGATGATGATTTCAGTACATGAGAATAGTCGGTAGTACCTGGATTAGTCCCCATAATGCCCAAAATAGGTGTGCTGCCAACATGTATGTGTTGGTCTCGATGTACAGAGCTTCGAGATCTTTATCAGACACCTATCAAGAAAGAAGTGCATTATTTCGACTTTGAGATTGTGATAGTGGAATGAGGATCTGACAGATAAAGTAACCAGCCGATTTCAAATTCTATAGCAGCAGCATTAGACTACGGAACAATCGAGCAGCAACAGTGACTAAATGAAAACCTACTATGACGCTGTGACAAATTGAGTATTTGAATAAGCAAGCAATAAAATGCCATCTGCTATAGGCTCCATCTCATGAAAGTGCATATGTACCCAGAAGAATCTGCGTCAATAACAGGAGACAGACGCTGCACCATAGAGAAACAGTATGGCAATAAAGGGTAATATAGATCATCAAATTGAGAGTTGACTTAAAGCACATTAGAAAGTAATTGGATATGAAGCATTGGCAACATGACACGTATACAACACCATCAGCCAGATGACCGAGTAAACAAGCTCCCCCTGGCATTTCATTTATTTTATTTTTCTGGTTCTAACATGGGATTACGCCCACAACTGGAAAGTAGTTACTTCCAAATGAAGATAATCAACATAATTGGAGATGGTCACACCAGCCCCTCTACAAATCATAAGCATGATTGTGGTTACCGAAAATGGTAAAGAATGAAATGCATGAGTTCATCCTGAGATACCTCCTGCGGTTTCTCTGGCATCAGATAGTGCCCAAAGAAATGATACTGTTCATCTTTACTTGGGTACCTGCAAAATGGCAAAGTTTGATTACCAAGAACATAAGTCACATAACATCAACTCATACAATTGTTATGACATGGAAAGGCATAAGTTGAGGAACATACAAACTGTAGTCGCATTCATAGCCTGCATATTCATTGAAGTGATTTCCTATGTCATACCCTCTGTAATTATATGACCCATACTCAAAATCAATGAAGTGGAGTTTCCCTGAAAAGTGAGCAGAAATAACTAGAAAAGTTAATACAATGTATGAAAAGAAAGGAAAAGTAAGTGTAAGAAAGTAAAAGCCACAAGCTAGAATCTCATGCACGTGTCTCAATGTGACCAGTCTACTTGGGCATGCTCATTGCTCATGGAGTCCAAGTTAGATCAAGAGAACATGACGCAAACAAAAGAAATATTGGAATAGGAGTAGGAAAAACTAAATGCTTCTGACAACAACTGTTTGGTTCATGCCAGTCAAGAACAGAGATGAAAGAATGAAAAATAGAATTTATCACCCCAAGCAACAATGTGTACCTTCCTCATCATTGAGCATTAAATTGCCACAGAGCAAGTCATTGTGAGCAAACACCACAGGAGCATTAAGAAGACAGGTTAATTCCTGTTTCCACCATCAAGCAGCAGATTTCATCACATAAGAGCACAAGGGTCTGTCATATATATATGTATAATGTACTGATCAATGTGGATAAAATTGATTTAACACTTATGAACACCGGGGAATACTAATTTTTGCTCTTAAAGGCAACCTTCCCTAAAAGCATAAAAAAGACAAGAAATTGTTAGTAACTCGTGAGGCGATACTGGAGCATTAGAGTACCTCACATCCTAGCACAAACTGCATGATATTATGTGAAAGCCAGTGAGAAACTCATGACATGACATGCTAAGACCTCTCAGCAAGTTGTACATCATATACTCATTGCAGTATTAAGCAGTTAATAATTTCAGGCATACTTTTTGGCGTACCAAATAGACAATTTGAAAAGAGCTTGAATGAAAATATATGTATCAGAGGTTATTGATGTAGTAGTTATCCCACAGCATATATCATGTAAGAGTTGGGATATTTAGAAAAACTCCTTAAGAGAGGAATTTACCTTTAGCTCAAGAAGTTCATCATGAATTTCCTTAAAAGATATTGCCTCGTACTTCCTTTGCTTTTCATTATCATCAAACTTGAGATCAGATGCTACATCAGAAAAGTTGGCACAAACATGACTCAAAAGAAACATTAAGTTAAAATCATTTTGTTAAAAAGAAACATTTGACAGAGTGCAACGGTGAAATAACTTTTCCATGAAGTGATGAAGAAAGAGAAAGTGAACTGCTAAAGAGGAATAACCTTTCTCGAAAAACTTGAATATATCATTCCACAGTTGAGGTTCTTTACAACCTGGAATTTCCACTTGATGGAATTTGTGCAGCTGCTTAGCAATTTCAGCAGCCAGCTTTGGTTTTCTCATATCTGTTGCATGAGGTGGAAAATAAACAGCTGAACATGATGTCGAGCAACAAGTCATAGGCCATGGGAACTCATTATTAATATGTTATCAGACTTCATGGGAGCTCATAAATTATTGCCAGGATATAGATGTTTTGAAAAGTCTATTTTAAGAAAACGATCCTATAACTACAAGTTCAAAAGAATCGGCACAAAAACTCACATAAAGTTGTGATATCCAAAGTCAAACAGATTTAACAATTGAATTAGTTTTCATAGTGGCTAAAACAAAGACCCCAACTCAGGAAAAGAAGAAAAAATTAGGCGAACAAACAAATTTGAAAGACTGAACCAGATAACAACAAACTTTCTCATGTTAATCTGAAGAGCTGACACTGACAGGTATATATCCAAGATCACTATCCCCTTCCAAATGCCTTATTTCGAAAGATGGTCAGTGGGATTTTGAAACCACTTTAGACCTGTGGAACTGTGACCATTTCATTGCTGAAGTGCCTAAAGTATTACATGATACGGACCGTTACTTTCTAGAGCAACTCTCTGAAATCCACAACATCATCTGGAATTCTCTAGTATGCTGAATGATAAATTCATACCTTCTGGAGTGAGTGTACGAGCATTTATAAATGACTGAACCATGCCATTCCCAAAAACTGCAAGCAACTTCGCACCAAATCCTGCAGCCGAAAGGTACTTGATAGCCTAAAACAAATCCGTTAAGCAATTATTAAGCAGAGTACAGCATTGAAGGCCGTCATTACACACAGAAGTAACTGAGCACCATAAGTATTAGAAGCATTTTACTTTTTCCAAGTCTGTTGAAGAAACTGGGGCGTTCGTCATAGCAGTCCTACAGACAAAATGGTAACGAATGTGCCAAATCACTGTGGAAGGAGTTCTGAGTTTGTCTAGCAATAATTACGTGTGTGAGTAATTCAAGGAATTGTATGTGATCCATTCATCTACATTGCTCTCACGGGTTAACATCATAATCATCACATTTCTTAGACTAGTTATTGTAACCACAATAGAAATAACGAAATGGATCCCTCAAACCATATAAGTCCTTTTGACACTATCCCGACTAGTTTCAGCTCTGGATTCTATCGGCTTGCATTTGCACGATTACAATGTGTCTGGATTCGGGAGAGGTGCATCCAACCGTCTCCCTTGGAAAACTTTAAAGATGTATTGCTGTAACAGATGCCAACTTCAACATTTTGCATTTATGTCAGCTAAGAACCTTATGAATCCCAAAGAGATTAAGAAGGAAAAAACTTAACTAAAGGAAAGATTACAGAATTCTCTATTAAAGCACTCAGGGAAACAAGTCCAGTCGACTAGAACACAAGGAAGAAGGAAATGATCGACCCACAAATTGTTAACAAACTACATAGTTATTCGGAATAAAGACTCACGTGGAGTTCTCTTTCGCGATCAATGACATCCTCGGTGTTAGGCCCGTATAATCTGACAGTAACAGATTCCACATTTCCGCTTTCCTCTTTCACCGACACCTTCAACACTGCACCAAATCCTCAATAAGGACCCCCGACTAGGATAAACTCAAAAACCAGGCACGGCTAATCATCCATCCCTACCAGCAAACCTCGCCTATGATCGCAACGTACACACTAACACGGAATCATCGA